AGAGTTGACAGTAGTCTACTTCGCGGTTGTATTTCATTGCATATTATTGCTGTAAAATAGTTGCAACTTTTAATATATAATTAAAATTTAACATTTAATAATTACCAACATTTTATAAGTAGAAAAAATAATAATATTAATGATTTCGATATCATTTGTGTCATGGGTTTATGTTATAATAATTAATATCTGATAAATAAAATGTCCAAAATAAAGTCTTATTGTAATTTTAATAGCAAATGTTTAAACCTACAAGCTGTAAAATTATATAAACCTTATTAAAGTGACCCATTTCAAACATTAAACTTTATTTTTGGGATTGAAGAGATGTCTACATTTTAACATAAGTTTATAACAAACTAGTCAAACATTTTATTGTAAATCTATTTAATTGAAAATATATTTATTTATATATTTATAATAATAACAATTAGATCATGATAACATAAAATTAGCCACCGGCCGCACTGCCCAAACTACCCAAAATACCCGTCAAAGCACTTGTAATGCTATTAACAACAGGTGTGATAGCATTTGCAACGGCAGGTACAGCACTGGTAGCGTTACTGATGGCATTGCCCACTATATTAGCCGGCGCTACCGTAGCAGCCGTAGTGGTAGATGCGGTTACTGTCGTGGCTGTACTGTTTGTTGTAGTTGTTGTATTTACACCAGGCACACCGGCAGCACCGGCATTATTATTAACCACGTTCACGTTGGCCACGTAATCCTGTTTCATGTTGGTTATTTGACGGCCTGACGAGTGGTGTTTCTTCCGCTTCCTCTTCTTCTTCTTCTTCCTGTGCTCTGTATTTATGGATCAGATATTTATTATTCATATCTATTAGTATAATATTAATAATAGTTATTATTAGTTATTAATATGCTGTTTTCCTTAATTCATTATTATGAATTTAATATTGTGGTCTTAATAATTACAAATTATATATACTATTTATAAACTTATATAATTAACTACGGTAATAATATTAACGTATACAAACTTTTATCGGTCTCATCCTCATTAGGCCATAGACTGTCCACCACTTTGTTTGCTTCAGTTTTCAGGTCGGGGCTAATAACGGAACTCATATTGGGTTTGGGAATAGGCTCCCAAACCCGGAGATTTGTTTCTTTTGGTGTTTCTAAATCAATAGATAACAGTGAATCTAGCGATTTGTCTGTGTCCTTGATAAAATCACCATGATTTTGGTCAACTATTTAATTATGAGTTAAATTTAAATATGATAATTAAATAATGTTTAATTAAGGAATAAACTTACCAAATATTGTTATTAATGATAGTGTAATTGATATTAATTTCATTATTTTTATTTTTCAATTAATTTTAATTATTTAAAAGTTTATGGAAAATTATTTTTTAAACATAAATTAAGTTTTTATGACACAAATTAGGCATGTTTTAATTAATTGCTTATCCAAGTGTTGATCTATATTTATAAAAATATTTTTACCATTAAATAATAATGCATTCGATGTTTAATTATAAATTATTAAGTTTATAAGTAACTATAATTTATAATTAAATTAAAAAATAATTTACAAATTTTATGCGAATTGAAACACAAATTTTATTAAAACAAAACAACAAAAACAAAGTTTAAAACAAACAAAACAATAACATTAAAACACAGGCATTGTATTTGGCGATTGAGTTTAACATAACTTTTCATTTAACTTCAGACAACTTATTAATTAATTAATTATAAATTCATTATAACTTACTTATAATTTAATCATAATTAAAAAACAATAATAACATTAAGAATTAGACAACAAACATAAAAAATCATGAAAAACACATTTCGATATTAGTTTTGAGTATTTTTCAAAAAACATTTTCAAAAACACATGCATTTTGAGCCAAATTGAACACAGTTTGCAATTTTACAGCCATTGTATCCGTCCGTACCGTTATTTCTCACACATTGACAACGGTTTTCACACCCGAGTACTGGATCTGTTGCTGGCGTTGGGGTACCCTCTGGTCCTGACCGCGGCCGACCACAGACAAATCATCGGACAGATGCTGTTGCGCACCCTGTACGCGCACTTGTTGAACACCCTGTACTCCCTGGCCTACGCCAAACTGTGTGGGCTGTTCAGTGCCAATCTCCTGGCCCTGAATGGCCGACACCTGTTGTTGGGGCACCTGTTGGTCAATGGGCGACGAGTACTGGTAGGGCTGTTGGCCACCAATATATGACACGTACTGATTATCGTATTGGATGGGCGTCTGGGCGATCTGTGGAGAGCACCGGGAGGCAATAAAACATGATAATTAGTATACATATTGTACAGTCAAACCCTGTTATAAGTGATAACTCACGAGTGAATAGTATTGCTGGAGATCAGAGATGGGGAGAGAGTGTTGAATGGGCTGCTGTTGTTGTTGCGGTTGGGAGGGTATGGACGACCCGGTGTAGTACTGTTGGACCTGTGGGTACACAAACTGTTGCTGCTGTAGCTGTTGTGTCGGCAACTGGTAGCTGATCACTCGATGGCCGCCAATAATAGTGGGCACCGACTGTCTGACGGACTCGTGGATCACCACTTTGTGGTCACCGACAACCGGCGTCTTCACCGCCTGTTTCTGGCTAACAATGTCCTGAGTTTTCAGGTCCTGACCGACGGGTAGCGGGCGGTGGTCCACGTCGTGGCCCACATGCGAGTCCTGCTGTTGGACGACAATACGCTGGTCGACGAGATCGCGACGTTGGTCGACGAGCGGCACCTGTTGCTCGTGAGTTAGGCTCAACACTTGAGGCACCTGTTGCTGGTATACCTGTTGCTGATACACCTGTTGTTGTTGGGGCTGTCTTTGGATCAGATCGATGTTCACCGACGGTATCACCGGCTGAATGAAGTACTGATAGTTGTTTCTTTGGGATGAATAGCCCTTCACTCCCTGCGCGGGCAGCACCTGATAGGAGGGTTTGCGGACCCACTCGCGGGGCACGTGTGGCTGCACCTGTTGCTGGACCTGCTGTTGCTGTTGGACAGGTCTCACCTGGTATTCAATCACCGGCCGCTTCACGCCCTGCGAGGACTGGTAGGCAAAAACAAAACCAACAGTTAGTTTGCAATAAACACTATATTCACCACAAGATTATCATTGATTTTCATTACCACTCTATGGTCTTCAACAGATATGGGGAACTGTTGGGGCTGTTGGACAGTCTGGTAGACCACTTGCTGTCGGGGTATCAATGGCTGGCCGTAGCCGACGATCGGTCGGACCAATGACTTGCCTTTAATGGCGTACTGTTGTTGTTGTTGTGGCTGTTGTTGGGTTTGGGGCTCAACGAGACGGCGCTGACCGAACAGCACCTGCGGGAAGATGTGGTCGTCGCCGGACAGCACCTGTCTCTGGACGTTCACTGGGGAGACACCCGACACGAGTAGCGACGGCTGCTGCTGGTCGTTGACCGGCTGTCTGTCCTTAGACTCGTCCTTTGGCTCGACCTCCGACTTGGGTTCGGTCACCGGTTTTGAGTCGTCGATCACTGAAATTATAGGCAATAAATGCGTTTAATACACGATGTTTCCACAATTTAAGTTTATATTTATAAACATGATAAATACTTTAGTTAATCATATTAAACATTACTATTCAAAACTACTGGTTTAAAACTAAGAGTGCGCATGGTAAATAAACTGTAACATAATATAATTAAAACGTTGTTGATAGACTTTATATGGCTATTTAATATAAACTGGTTGAATATAGTTAGTCAAAAATTTTGGTTCATATAAAATTACCAATAAATTAAATTTTTATTTTAATTAATATAATTCTAAGCGATTTAATTATATGTTCGATATAAATGATGAAATTTTCGATAGGTAGAAAATTAAAAAACAAAAGTTAAATTTTTGTTGCGTGCTCATTACCCTGTATAATATAAAGTAAACTAATCACTTGGAACTAATTATATGCTGTTTACCTTCATCGCGGACACCATCGATGGACTCATCGATATTGAGATATCTTTGTTGATCCCTTTCGGTGATGAAGGGCTCGGACTGGTGTCGGACAGAGGGGTTGTACGAGCCGTATGTGAGCGGTGCCTGATCTACATATATGGGCTCATTAGAGTTCCACACAATAGGCTGCGAAGAGATCGGGATTCCCGACCCGGGAGGTCCCGCCTGTATACCATCGCCCTGCGATTGGATACCGTCTTTTCCCGCAGTGTATTTCACGATACGGAGTCCCCCTTTTGATGAGATAATCAGGGTGTTAGTGGTTTGGGTTATTTTTGACCACGATTTAATTGGCAATTAATATGCATGTGTATTTGTATTGCTTAATTGCTTTGCAATGTGCACTTAAAATGACATTTATTATGATTATTGTTTCCTGATAAGAAATTCATCCCAAATAGCTTTCTAATTATTTAAAAATAATTACATTTTAGCTATAAATAATAAATTCCCCGCTATTTGATTGACATCTAGATAAAAATAGTCAACAAATTTTTTGACAAACAGAAAAATCATGCTAAATATTTGAAGTATTATATAATCATATAATTCGTAATTCTATACACGATCTAAATTACTAAATTTTAAAAATATTATGAATAAAAATAATTAATTACTTTAGAAAAAAAACTTTCACATTTTAAAACATCATTAATTTCATAAGTGTTTACTAATTGACTGACGGATATGTCACTATGAACTAACATACTATAATACAGTCTGGGTGTTAGGGTATATCCCCGGGACTTACCGGTCGGGTCCTGAAAGCCGTATTTGCCGTAAACGATGCCATCGGAGCTGCGGATCTCATCCCTGAATTGTCTGCCCTCTGGTTGGTTGTTATCGAAGAAGAATTGATACGAACCGTCGGCATTGATTTGCGAGCCGTACAGTTCAACAAATGATCAGGGTGGAAAATTTTTATTAATTTATTTTTGTAATGTAAATGACTGTGTCGTATAAATACCAAAACTTTATACATTAAAAAAGTTTAATAATTATTCTTGATCATTTTTGTCATTATTACAGTTTTTCAATTATTTTTTTAATGAATTCTTATGAAAATTGTTATAAAAAGTTATTTTTTTGATAAGGTTTTGCTTTTTAAATACATTATATTAATACTATCTAAACATTATTTTAAAATATTCCTAACACTAAATTATCTATTGATTGAATATTTTATTGCAATAAATGCATTATAAATTATAGAAACATATTAAAAATCTGGTTCTGTTTTTGAGTCTTATAAAAAGCTATAATTAGTTACATAACAACTTATTATGTAACTAATAATCAGTTTTTTAAACGATGCAATTATGTATAAAAACTATGCTTAAACTATATTGAAAAAAATACTTATGGTCTTAATATTGTAACCTTGCGGTTGAGGCTGAATGGGTGTCGCCAGGCATGAGCCGACCAACAATGGCAATAAAATGAGCTAGGTGAAAAGTAATTTAGTTGAAAATATTTTAAATTAAAAACATTAGTAGTTATAATAATTGTATTTCAAAATTATTAAGATAGTTTTTCCTAACAATTGTAACTCTTATTATATTTAAAAGTTAATCCAAAAATATATTTCTTTGTTATTTTACAAATTAATTTCAAAATTAATTAATCTCAATTTTAATTGTTAATAAATAAGGTAAATAAAATAATTACCATGTTCATTTTGTCTTCAAATTGTGTTGATTATTTAATTACTCGTATATTCTCTAAGCAAACAAAAAATATTGACACAAAGAAAATTAAAGGCAAGTCTTAAAAGAAAGCACTTATCGATTAAAAATACAGTAAAAATACATTACAGGTATAGAGAAATGAAGGTAAAAATAAATATATAGTTATACCCAACTGTCCCTCTCGTTAGACTATTTATACACTCCTAATAACCACTGCTTTTATATAAAGCACTGGTATTTCAAAGACTTATTTCTCTGTATATATAAGTGAAAGAAGAAATTGAGAAAGTTTTTAGTGATTTGTCTCATCCCTATTGGACTAAACGAAAGTGTTTTGAGAGAGAGAGAGAGAGA